TTGAAGTTTGTTTTATTATTTAAAAAAAAAAAAAAAAAACTTTCCAACGCGCGAGACTGTGCATAAGAAATTCTAAAGATATGCTCTATGCTCATTTAAAAATTATTTTGCGATATTGCTGTTGAACTGAATTTTATGGTTTGCGTACATATAACGTGATATTTTTTAAATAAAGGTAACACACAAAACGTTTGAAAAAAGCCCCTTTAGACGTTATTTAAAATTTAAAACCTTTCAAATTTTTTGTAATAAATATGGTTTTTTATTACTTATCAAATAACTCACTAAATTGTTAAGGTAAAATACAGGAAGAGAATTTTTCCCCAGGGTCCACACATGCACGTTACCTGAATTTCTGAATAGAAGCGATACACATTGCAACTTTATTTCTCCTCGAACTAAGCAATTACGTTTACTCTTTTGTTACAGATATTATCGTAAATCTTCCACGCAAAGAACAGCGCATTGACTGCATTAATAAAGAATAAAATAGTTTCAGATTATAATCTGAAACTATTTTATTTTTTATTCTTTATCATATTTGATGTTTTGAAATGCTCTATAGAGCATTTCAAAACATCAAATACGAAGGCGCATGGCTTTGAATTAAAAAAAAAAAAAAAAACTGATATCGAAAGTGATTGCTAAATAAATCAAATCTCTTTCACAAAACATTTTAATGGGCTCGAAAAACGAGTTCGAATTGAATTTTGCAACATAAAGTATGAAATATCAACAGGGTTGCCGAAAGTAGGTGACCGAAATAAAAAAATTAATTCAGTAAGCAAGCGTTAGTAGCTGCTGCAAAAGGTGCTATAAAAATAAGGAAGAGTTAGCGATCCATTTTGATCTAATTTAGATAATACAAATGAAGTTTAAAGATAAAGAGCATTGTTTGTTTAATCTTTGTCCCTTTCAACTTCCTTAAAAACAAATAAAGAACTGCATTTAAATCAGATTATGAAAGTGGACAATCAATTATGATGGGGGAAATCAACAACTATAAATGCCAGATTTCATTAAAATGATACATTTTTTTTACGTAAATAATCAAGTCATTTTACGTAAATAATTAAGTAGTAGTTTCAACTGTCCTGTCGCTTATCGGCTTTCATGACTCATGCTTGGAAACCCAGTCACGTAGATTATCGCCCTGTATTATATCTGTAGAGTTCAAATTTTTGCCACTAAATACTATCGCCCTGTATTATTTTAAAAGAAATTAAATAACGAAGAGTTTGCATGTATGTATGCATGTTCCTCGCTTTGTGAACAAACTATGGTATCTAGGGCCGTCCAGTTTTGAATAACGTTATCTTCCACTCGAACATGGGCACCTGGAAGCACGAATTTTGAATTTCATATTTCGGGAAACTTTAATGAATTTTTGATTAAAAACTCGACAATTTGAGAGTGAGTGGCAAAACTCTACGGAATAAAATACTTTTATCTAGACAATAATCTGTCTGGATTTCTAAAGATATGCTGTTTTTAAATATTTTGAGGTTTTGCCGTTAAATCGAAATTTATATGGCATAAATCCGAAGAACGTAATATTTAATAAATAAAGAATGTGATATTAAAAAGAATGTGATATTAATAAACACGCAAAATTTTCATAATAAAGAGACAAAATTTTTGCAAGCAATTTTATTAAGAAACTTAATGCTGCATCAGGAATTCCAAACATATTGTTACGTTATTCTCTTCCTTCACGTTCGTACGGGGTTCGTAGATTTGGAGTGAAATAGCGACGACATTGAGAAGATCGAAACACCTTTATTTACCAATTTCCTCAGGACAGCTCTAAATCACTTTTAAAATCGTCGACTGTTTATAAAACACTGACACGTTCGCGACAAGCCTTCACACTCTCAGGCAGTAACGGTGGGACAGCTTCACCGCAAAGCCCCGATTACGTTTCCGCCTCGTTTGTCGTCTGGACTCCCGTACTCTCGAGGACTCTCCACGCGAGGCACTCGACGATACCAAGCGTATAGCTCTGACTCAGCACAGTCTAAGTCTGTCTCGACGATGCACATCACTCGACGTGCCTATTCGCGATGCACTCGACGACCAACTCGGCGCTAGATTCGAGACCCTCGCTCAATGACTGCTATCAGCTCGCTGACAGCCACACACTAACTGACTGCGGACCAGCAGGGTTTATATAGCTTTCGGCTTGTGTTCGAGAAAATTCTGGGCTAAACCGGTATGAATTCGTTCCAGAAGGTTCTCCAACCGTCAATAGTATATCGCCAATTTTGTCGCCAAATGTGGTAACCCTGCCTTCCCTTTCCATTTTATGGCAACCCTAAAACTACTTTGCGGGGAAGCTATCTCACCGCGCTTGTACATTTCGTAACAATATATTACTATGCTTCTGTAAAAAGTTTTGCCGTTGGACGTAAGTGCGAAGGAAAGGATGCTTAATAATAATAAAGCTAGCAAGTGGAAATAGACTGGTTGCCTACGAGCTTAGCCTAGAGCGAATAAAATCTTAACAAATCCTTTTGGGCGATCGTTAAAATCTGAATTCTTTCAGATTTTTTAACTAAGGGGACTCATACACCTTAAAACCCATAAGATGTTCGAATGTGTGACTGTTGCAAGAATTGGGATATTTATTTATTTTAAAAGCAATTACTTCCAACTTTTTACATCTGACTACATAATATAGCTGCTTTGGAAAATAGTAACCAGAAAGTTTGTGTTGCCGCAAATAATTTTGTAATTTAATCCTCTTTGTGACAAAATATTTCGCCATGTTTCCACTTTTCGCGCACGATATTTTAAAAATGGCGAATGGTACATATTTGAAATTAGATGGAATTCTTTATATGGGCCCTACTTCTAAATGAACCAACATCTGATGAATATTTTAATACTGAAAAATTTATGGACGAAAACTTAAAATTTTGTTAATAAAATACATTTTATAAACTGAACTCGAAGTAAAATAAAAATTTAACATGAAATCTTTAGAATTTTAGGTTCACAGTAGTTTCCAAATGTTATAAAAGCTATATATTAAATATTTAATTAAATTATGAAACAAAACGTTTTAAGCTGTGCGCGCAAGGAAACATGACGAAAAATGTTGTCACAAAGCGGATTAAATTATAAAAATATTTGTGGCAACGCAAACTTTCTGATTACTATTTCAGAAAGCAGCTATATTATGTAGTCAGCGATAAACAGTTGGAAGTAATTGCTTTTAAAATAAATAAGTTATCCCAATTCTTGCAACAGTCACCTATTCGAACCTTTTTAAGGTGTGTGAGTCCCCTACCGAGGTGTATGAGTGTCTCTACAGTGGCGCCCGAACTAAAAGGTGGTGAATGATGATATTTCATCACCAGGATTTGACGATTCGGTCCCATAATTCCCAGTCGTTCTTTGGGTTGTATATAAGGTATTTTCTCCCTTCTTTCTGCATGTTTTCGGGATGTAACGGTAGCACATTTGGCGCGTGTTTGAGAGGTCCAGGTTTGAGTCCTAGGGAGGGGCACTGCTCATTTTTCACGTCAAACTAACCTAATGCCTCTACAACACAATAATAAAATAATGAACAATATTTTATAATATTAAATGGGATTTTTAAATCGAAGTTTTATACACGTGTGTTTTTAAACAGAATAAGCGCCACATTACATTATTATTAATGACTATGCAACTTCCCGAGATAGCAAAATCAAAGTAAAAGTGTGCTTTTACGGATCTAATTTCTTATTCAGCCATGTCTCCATTTTTCGGTTAACGCAGGTTTGGCAGCAGAGTTGAGTCACGTTTTCAGAAAATTTAATAACTGTTCACGTATTCGACGTGTGTTCTTCGGAGTTTGCTTATCATAAAAATTCCACTTTTTTTTTTTTTCCTTTTACACATCTTTTTTTATCTTATTTACCCAGATTTTGATTCCTTGACATGGACGAATGTTAATTATATGTACATATGAGATAATGAAGATTGCTTTGATTCTCTTCTTCATACATCTGTAGAATTCAGCAACATACGCTGTAGAAGTTTAACTGAAAAACCAAAAATGCAATCTGAAAACATGAGATTACTCTAAGATTTCGAACTAAAATAAATCAAAAAATAGTAATTATAGAAAAAAATATTCTACATAAGGTACTTAACATATAACGTTGAAAATATCTTTTTAGTTACAACAAAGTTACAAATGCTCATTAAAATGGTCGGTTTGATATATTATAAAAAAGCCGCTACTCGGCCAGCCTTCGAATGGCTTTGAAATGTACCGGAAAAATGCCTGAAAGGAACACCAAGCATTAAATTTAAAAACTGCACAGGATTTTACTCTGCAGAACAACTTTATCAAAAAAAGAAAAAATAATTCAGTAAAAATGTATTACATATTTAAAAAAAATTACTATGAAATAAGCAATATCCCTTATTACGAATATTAATTGCCCTAATGAGTAAATTAACCAACTTCTCGTTGCCTTCTCTCGACAAATGTCCTGTGTCCAAGAGAAACCTTTTTCATTTTTCTGAGTGGCAACAGCGCTGATATCAGCAATAATGGTTGTGTGCCATTGTAGCTGATATAATGAGAAAAAATAATCGATTTGATGCGATTTCATCAAAAAATATTTAAAACAAATCTCATTTGAATTTTAAATTAATTAATTTCCATCCTGTATTTATTTGAAGAAGTTTATATTACCATTATAAAAATTATATCTGTTATTTAGTCATGTAATGTTTGTCTTGATTGATTTCCTTAAATATTTTAATTTTAGTTTTATTAAGTTCATTTTTAGTTTAAATGACCAATGACCATTTTTAAAACAATCAAATTTTTAATTATAATTTAATAATAAATAATTTTTAATAATTAATAAATTTTTAATATAGCTTTCTATAACAGTTTTACTTCTGCTCTGACATGCTGCTCATAAAGTAAAACATATTTCTGTGATCATTATATCCAACAACGTTGGAATTTAATATTTTATTTCCTCCACTATCCAGAGCTTATCGAAGAATTAAAGTAGTTGGGAGAGAAACATGGTCTTCAGGGGCTAGGTGGTTGTACAATGGCTACTGATTTGGGAACAGAGTGTGCAAGAAACGTATTGCAATGCACGTAAATATAACTGACAACATAAAGCATAAAAGTAATACAATAAGTAAATAGTGCAATCAATATAAGTACATAAGTAAAAAATTACATATCTATATAGTTATACGATTGAAAAACATTCAGAAAATTTTATAAAAGAATACCTTGTGTGGATACCACATGACTTCCTTGTACGGCCTATGAAATTACACACATTTTCGCTTCACTTCATTTAAACTTATTTCGGAACTTTTCCGTTTCACCAGCGCAAATCTCGCCAAGTACACTTCATTGACGACAGCATAGCATATGTACATAAAAAATGTTAACAAATGTTAGTTCTAAGAATCTTTTATTTTCAAGGCATAAACATTTCAATAGCGTTTAAAATTTTGTAAAAAGCCAATAAATAAAGACAATAAATTTGTAAAAAGACAATAATTTAAGAATTTACTGTGCTTTCATGGTTCAACATCCTGAGTCGCCGGTTCATATCACGTGACCCCAAATGATCTCATCCCACGTAAGCTACGCTACAAAAATCTAATTCTCTCAGTAATTATTTACATTAATTTCAGGTTAAATCTTAGTTTTGAATACAAGTTTAAATGCAAGAATTATTCCAATTCGTAGGAATAGCTTACTCAGAAATTATGTAAAACCGCAGTGCTTTACTTCGCTAGTGCATTCTCGTTAGAATGGATGAATTTAGCCCTTGACTTTGCCTTTTCTATATTTTTGCCTTCGGGTGAGCGGTATGCTTGCATCCTAATTGATTTAATTACCGCGAATGGCCTTAAAGGCATAAAATTGAACTATCTGGTAAAAAATCTATGTAATTGTATGCCAGTATTGAAAGAATCAATCAATCTGATAAGAAATGGCGGCGACTTGTTTTGAAAATGAAGCATAAAAGGTTACCGGCGACGATATTCCGTTTGGCACCAGTTGTACTATTATTGGCGACTTTATCGCCTGCGCCGGCAAAACGGAAAAGTATCCTTATTTCCTCGAATTTCATTACAGATATATTTCTCATTCAATAAATTATGTTTTCACTTCGTGGCAAGGCAAAAATACTTAAATGCTCAAAATATCTTCATTAAAAATTGTAAAATACAGGAAAACTTAAAACACCAAATACGGTTAAAAACACTTTTTTTTAAACAAACTTTTAAAATTTAGAGTTTGCACGCAAAAATAAGCAATTCGACCTGCGGGCAAGGAGACAAAATGTTCGGTGCTCAATTGAAGTTAACTTTTGGTCGCACTGGCCAAAGAGACACTGAAGTTGGCGCAGAAACTGACTTAATTCACTGTTGTACTAAGAATTCAAATGTAAACAAATGACGGCCTCGTTAGGCCTAGCACCACTTTTAAATTGTTGATAATTCTACAACTATTGCAAGCATATTGTTGCGTTTTTTTATTCTTCTGACGTTGTTACGTTATTTTCTTCCTTCACACTCGTATGGGGTTCGTGTGGATTTGGAGTGAATAACGAATGAAGTATCTTTATGAAGTATCCAAACATACTTTAATCAGGACCAATATTAATAAGGACAGCTCCAATAACACTTTTACAGTCGTCGATGATCTACTATAAACACGCTGGAACAATCAGCGACACAGCCTTCAGGTTATCAGACTATCACGGTTGAGACAGCTTCCTGCAAAGCACCCGACTCTGCTTTCCGGAGTACAGCTCCCGACTCTGCTGGCTCGTTCTCGGAACTCCACGTACTCTCGAGACTCTCCACGCGATGCACTCGACGATACACAAGTACAGCTCCCGACTTTTCGGTTCAGTCGTTCCTGGAGCTTAACACGCTCTCTCGACGATGCACTAACCGCGATACACTAAGAGACTCCTTCGGTGAACTCGACGACCCACTCGGCACTTGCTGTCCGGCTGTCAACTCGATCGACTGCGCAGAGATTGACTCGCTAGACGAGACACCAACTCGATACTGACTAACTCGCACTCTAGACGAGGCACACACACTCGCCCTCTCGACGAGGTAAAACTAAAACTGACTGCGGACCAGCAGGGTTTATATAGCTTTCGGCTTGTGTTCGAGAACATTCCGGTAAGAATTCGTTCCAGAAGGTTCTCCAACCGTCCATGCCCAGTTTTGTCGCCAAATGTGGCAACCGTGCCTTCGCTTGCCATTTTATGGCAGCCCTAAAACTGCTTTGCGGGGAAGCTATCTTACCGCACCTATACATTTCGTAACAATATTAACTAAAGGAGTATCTTAACCAGAAGATAAGAACATTATATTTCACGCACTTTTAAAGCAAAAAATGAATTATTCACACCAGCATATAAGAACAAGAAAACTGAGCTCATCAAGTCGGGTAATAATCGGTATATAGTATATATGTTACGATGAAACACCGAAATCTGGAGAATGTCGACTTTCACCGGTGAATGTCAACATTCACATAGTCTCTTGGTGTATGTCCCAAATATTTTCCAAATACTCTTATTTCTGACTTACACCGGTCACTGTCGACATTCACCTTGTACTAATGGTGAATGTTAAACATATAACAGTATTATATTTTCTTCTCCGTCATTCAGTCGCGAATAAACGCACTTGAAACTTGAAATAAGAACTTAAGAACGTGAGAATCTAAAACACACAATACATTCAAAATGAGAAAGGAAAATAATAGAAGTTAAAAACTTACTTAATTATACAGTACGTTCTAAATGAGAAAATAAAATAACAGTCATAAAAAACTTACTAAATTATGCGATTCAAATCTTAATTTATTGCAACAACTTAAACTATTATGGCACTTTACGACCTCTCTTTTCGACTTTCACCAGAGCATATCTGTGATTGTCGACATACACCGGTGAGGGTCCGAATATACAAGAATGTAGTGAAATATTCGGTCTTTTACTGACGTATTTGGTGAATGTTGATATTCTCCGGTGAAAGTCGACATTCTCCAATTTCGGTCTTTCACGGTAACATATGTATTTCTTAAATGGATTGCCTCTGCGTTCACGGAGCAAGTTTTGATTTCAGTGTTCTCTGTTAATTTCTAAGTATATTTCATGTTACTACATTTAATTTCAATGTTAAATTTAGTAAAAATATCTAATTTATTTTTTTTACATTATTTGACATTGAAATCTTTTTACAAATGGATACGTTTTTGTACATTTCTTCAACGGACTGCTTCTGAGTCGAGGAAGAGTTCAAAATTTGAGGGCGAACTGTTATAATTAAATATTTTAGAATGGCTAGCTAATTTTGGATGAACAGAAACGCAGTGGTTTTCCACGTGAGACGGGTTCAGTTGAGTCTGAGCTACATGCTCTTGATAACGTCGAATCAGATTTAATTGTAGTCTTAAGTACTTTTCATAGTTTTTACATTTGACATTTCTTTAATTCTTCTGACTTTTGGTTGATTATTTACATATGAATTGGGAATTTTGAAATTTTACTGGTTTTGAATTTCATTTATTTTGGGTCTTTGTAGATTTGATTCTAAATTTCTCACTTTTTATCTATAACTGATTCAATTTCAGTAGCATATTGCGGAAACAAGATTAGGATAATTTTCTTTTGAATTAAAAATTTGTAATACTGTTATACACATGTATATGCATCTGGTGCTGCCGATCGAAATCAAAAAAGGAGGCACACAACTGCATGTTATAATAGTCCAATATACAAAATTTCAACGTTCTAAGTCTATTGTTCCTAAGTTATGCGAGATGCATTCATACATACGTCACGAAAAAGTCTCTTTTGAATCCATTTTAAGTCCATTTTACAATCCGTTTTGGGAAAAAGAGTCCATTATTATGTCCGTACGTATAGATGTCACGCAAAAACATCGTTCAAACGGATCCGAGAGCTGTCAAAATGGATATTTTCGTGTACATATGGTAACCGATTTTGGTTGCGATTACAATATTTCCTTTACGAAGGTGTAAAAAAGGGAATAAAAATCATTGCAAATGAGCTTACATTTTGTTTTCTGAGCTAATACCACTTCTCAAATCATTTCACTGTAGCTATGACTATAAGGTATTTCTCCCGCCTTCTTGGCATGCCTTCGTGGTGTGGTGGTCTGTACGCTGGGCGCGTATTCCAGAGTTCCGTGGTTCGATTCCCGGCGAAGGCATTGCTCATTTTTCATTTCCTCTGCTTCCAAACAATAAATTCTAAAAGCACTACATGACTAGCGGACAGTATTATGCTTTAGAATCTGAATTATCTTTGGAATCTCTGTTTTTCAACTATCACAGTTACATCTGCTTGATGCGTAATTGCTACTTAATAATAGTATTATTAAGTCGAATCTATGACATTCACGCGTATGGAGACTTTTAGAGATGCACTTTATATTGGTTTTATATCTTATATTGGTTTTTATCTTTTTATATTGGTTTTTATCTTAGTCTAACCTGCCAACCGATGGCCGAGTGGTGAAGAGTGCAAAATAAGAGTACAGTAAGACCCCGCTTAAAGCGGGGGATACGTTCCATCGAAGTAGAGCGTAATGCGAAACAGCGCTAAGCGAGGCTATCTTAACATGTAAATAATGGGGTTAGGGGAAGACGGATAAAAAATGGTTAGGCATTAAATTTAATAATGTTTTTTTAATAAAAATAAAATCAAACATTTATTTCTTACAAAATAAAAACAATATAAACGCATATACTTTTAAAAACAAATAAAATTCTCAGTCAGATCATTCAGTCTATTCTGGGTTTCCAATTTTCTGCCTTTTTGTCAAGAAGGCATTATGATAGATTGGCTTAATGGCATATTGCGTTCAATTTCGTCGTCAATCCATATAGACAGTCGTTTTTCCATTTCCTCTATAATTTTATTTCTAGAACGGGTAATTCTAGTTGCAGTTGCCGATGACAGTATTTTTTCTTTATTCTTAAGAATTGTCCTTGTTGTTGAAGTTGCCAAAATCAATGCAGCACTAATTTAAGATTGACGTTCACCAGAATCTAATCTTCTAATCACTTGCATTTGAGTT